AGTATTAGTAGTAACAATGTCCTTTCCTGAAAAACACCACTGAAAGGACTTCCAGTGAAAATTACATTCATCATTATGTGGGAGGATAACATCACAGGGCTATCTACTTATCCTAGTGTAAATAAAAGCACTGATTACTGATATTTACTTGTATATCACCAGGAGTTCTGGTTGGAATGAACAATAAGTGTGTTTATCCATGAATTATCTTACTAATCATGCAGGCAGTTTACAAATGCCAACCTTTGGCTAGAAATATAGCAAGGGTTTGCTAAATTCAGCCAGACATAATTATTAGAATCACAGTGCCAGTTCTTGCCTCCAGGTCTCCATGAGATTACACAGGCGCAATCAGAGGCTGAATGTGGCTTATAAATATGTCTTCTGTGCATCTATTTTAACAAAATAACTGTAGGGATAACTCTATATTCTATTCCAAATGTAAGCAATTCAGTGTTTATGCAATATCTCCTTCCCCCGCCTCAAGAAAATACAATTCTTCCATGTTAATTCAGAGCATTTAAAGCCCACTGTGACTAGAGATGTAAAACTCCAGACCATTTAAGGCACAGATCCTGCAAATAGCTCCCCACAAGCAGACTCCTGCACCAATGTAGAGCTCTATTGACTTCTATGGAATTCTGCCCAAGCCCAGGAGCTTCCATCCACAAGGAGCTGTTTGCAGGATCTGGACCTTAGTTTGCAAGGGGTCCTGTGTATTTTGGGCCTAAGCCTATGAGCCCTTTGGTTTCAATGGGAGCCCTACGTACAGAGGCCTTGTAAGACTGGGTGATTAATTTGTTTTGACTCACTCTCCACATCTTGCTTGTGAATAATAATAATAATAATTAATAATAAAAAGCTTAGTGAATACTACACATAGTTGTGCCTGCTTTCTTGTCACAACCGTCTGATGGAAGTGAATATCCATCAGACTCTTCCCCCTCTGCTTACAGAGTGCATTCACTCATAACTTGACCCAGCTGATTAGAAACACTTCTCACCTAGCCTGGAGAGAGATTGTAATGAAATCAGGCAAAAGCTGATCTTGATATGAAAGTTTTGCAGAGCTCTGCTTCTGGCCTGATTATTCTGCTTTCAGTACTCCTGGGTGCAGCATGGAATTCCATTTCACAGGGGATTTCAGAATTCAAAATTTTGGTTTTGCTCCGATTGAAAACAAAACAATTTTTTTTTCAAAATTCTGTGACACAGAAAAATAGAAATGTCTCATGTAGATAACTTCAGAATAAATTCTTCCTGGTGGGAAGAAAGGGAACCACGAGTCTGGATGCCTTGGCAGCCATAACTGAGCAGGGAGCCCCAGAGCTTGGGATAGCCAGCACTTTCAGGCTCCCAGCTCCCCTTCAGCCTACCAGGTGGATTATCCTAGAGCAGGGGAACCTGGAAGCCTTGGGGTCTGTGACTCTGAAAGCCTGGGCATGTTTTGAAATCTGCCTGGGTTTCGGAGGAACTTACTGAAAAATGAGCTGTCTCCACAGAATGTTTCAATTGTGATGAATCCGCAAACTGAAGAAAAAAATTATTTTTTCCAACCTGCTCTAGTTTTCATTTAGATCAGGAGTAACTATTGAATTAGTCTCATTTTAAGTGGGAGGAGAATCAGGATTCATTTTGTGTCTCACTTGCTCCTTGTTCCAGGCTCTACCAAAGAGCAACGTGACTTTTCTTTATAAAATTCAGACCATCATATTGTGAAAGTCAGCAGGAAGCAGCGGCTGCAATTGTATTTCATAGCTCAGGAGAGCTTAAGCAACATGACCAGTTCAAAATCCTGCAAGACATTTCATACTTTCTGCTAGATCGTCCTAAAAGGAATACATTTAAAAAAAAAAAAAAAAAGCTTGCAAGATTACAGGGGCTCAACTCCTCTGCTATAAAATGACAAAATTACCTTTTAAAAGGCATTTGAGTAAATGGCACAAACTAACCTCAACCGTGAAATATCTTTGAAAGTCCTTCCTCATCCCTCATTTAACAGGCATCCAATCCTCAAGTAAAGTGTTACTGATAAAACAGGTAGAGTAGGCATGTTTAATAATGCAATGTTTGTCTCTCACACACTTGTCTCCTATTGTAAGCATAGCAAGATGCTGTGGTTATTGCAGGTACACTAGGCCAGATAGTGTATTTTGAATGCCTCCCACGCAATTAAAGTTTAAAAATACCATTAAAATATGACTTTATTTTTCTAGCTCAGTGTTTCTCAAACTGGGGTCGCCGCTTGTGTAGGGAAAGCCCCTGGTGGGCCGGGCCAGTTTGTTTACCTGCCGCGTCCGCAGGTCCGGCTGATCGCCGTTCCCACTGGCTGCGGTTCGCCGCTGCAGTTCCAATGGGAGCTGCTGGAAGCGGCGGCCAGTACGTTCCCTCGGCACGCGCCGCTTCCAGCCGTTCCCATTGGCCCGGAGCAGCGAACCACGGCCGGTGTGAGCCGTGATCGGCTGGACCTGCGGATGGGGCAGGTAAACAAACCGGCCCGGCCCGCCAGGGGCTTTCCCTACACAAGTGGTGAACCCAGTTTGAGAAACACTGTTCTAGCTTGTAGTGTTCATATGATACCAGGGGTGGAGTTCTGACGGTTGCTGTTTATTGCAGATGCCTAAAATTGCCTTTGCATTTGACTACCGAAAGTTACTGAGAGAACACCTAACTACTTTGTGTGATCACATTTCTAAAGAGACTTGAGCTAATAAACGATGACTTCCTCACTAGAGCTACATAACCCAGCTATAGCAGCACCAAACTGCCCTAGTTGTTTATCAAGATTGAACATTTGCAACCTACCATAATTTTTTTTTTCAAGGTAGGCATAACATGCTGCAGAACTTTCCCTGTAGAAGAAGAAATGTGGTACATGATTAGCCCAAGCCACCTCCAAACATTTTCAGAATCTTTAAAGAAGATATACAGATTTTAATGCCATGCTCCCAGACCATACTTAATTAATGCTCTCCAGAACCCACATGCTATGCCCCTCCTGGGGGAAAGATGTCAAAAACAAGTAGCAAAAAGTGTGCTAATCAACTTCCTTTTCAGTACAGTATTTATTTATTTTTGTGTTGCATGTGCCAAAGTTATGTTCCAAAGGATCAAGGGCAAAGAGGATTGTCAACATTACTTATAGTGTTTCTATGGAAGGACTAGTGAAGATAATCATATAGAGGTTGAAAGTTTGCTTATTAGAGACAAAAACTTAGGGAAACAATTATGTAAAATCTCCAAGCTCAAGCACATGGCTGGAAGCATATATTTTTTCATTGTACCTTAGGGTCTCATAACACAATTTGTCAAATTAGGTTGATCCCATTGTTGTCAGTTCTACTTTAAATTGGAAATGGTGAAACTGAAAGGGAGATAGTTACTCTTCCATAGGTTGACTGCAGCTTTAGTAAGATGAATATCTACATGTAAATGGTGAACATAAGAATGGCAATACTGGGTCTGATCAATGGTCCATCTAGTCCTGTCTTCCAACAGTGGCCAATGCCAGATGCTTCAAAGGGAACAAACAGAACAGGGCAATCATCAAGTGATCCATCCCTTGTCATTCAATCCCAGCATCTGGCAGTCAGTGGCGTACGGACACCTAGAGCCTGGAGTTACATCCCTGACCATCTTGGCTCTTCAGCATGTGTGCAGTGTGCCCAGTAATTTGATAGCACCGTCATCAGCCAAGTGAAGAGCCGGTAGCCCCCCATCAATGTAAGTCAGCAGCCACTC